TGCTGCCCCTTTGGATTTTTCTCCCGAAAACACTCTCTGCTTCATTACCATATGGCCAGGCTACAAATTTTCCAAATCTTTATGCTCTGCTTCCCTTTTAATTATAAATTATGGCTTTATGTCATGCCTTTGCCACCATAACTGAGTGTAGGCTGTTACAAGTAGCCATGCAGCTGTCTGAATGCTTTGCTGCTTAGAAATTTCTTCCAGCAAATATTCTAGTTCACAAATCTTAAGTCCCACCTTCCACAAAGTCCTAGGGCATGGACACAATGCAGCCAAGTTCTTTGTTATGGTGTAGGAAGTGTGAACTTTTGTCCAGTTCCCACGTTCATTTCTACCTGAGACCTCATCAGCATGGCCTTTACTGTCCACATCTCCATCCGCATTCTGGTCACAACCATTTAACTAATCTCTAAGAAGTTCCAAATTTCGCATGTCTTTTTGTCTTCGTCTGAATCCTCCAAACTCCTCCAATCTTTGCCCATTACCAGTTCCAAAGCAGCTTCCACATTTTCAGGTATCTGTATAGCAACATCCCTTCCTTGGTACCAATTTTCTGTATCAGTCCAGTCCATTTTTGTGTTGCTATAACAATACCTGAGGACTGGGTAATTTATAAAGAAAAGAGGTTTATTTGGCTCACAATCTGGGACAGCGGCATCTGGAGCGGGCCTCAGGCTGCTTCTACTCATGGCAGAAAATGGCAGCGAGCAGGTACAATGAGATCACATGGCGAGAGGAAGCAAGAGAGAGGAGAGGTGCCAAGCTCCTTTAAACAACCAGCTCTCACAGTAACAGAGCGAGAAGTTACTCACTACCCCCGCCTCCCGAGGGACAGCATTAATCTATTCATGAGGGATCTGCTGCCATGACCCAACACTGCCACGCTGGGGATCAGATTTCAACATGAGCTTTGGGTGGGGGGACAAAAGTAGGGGGGACAAACATCCAAACTATATCACTCAAAAATCTTCACTATTGGCTTCATATAACATTCCAGTGATCTAAGTTATATTCCATCATAACCTATCCGACTCCTACAGTTCAGAAGAGACACTGTAACCTATGCTTTACCGTTTTACCTCGTGTCTCACTGTGGAGACACCCATTAATTGACACCCATTACTTTTCGGTGGCCTCAGTGGATCAGGAGGGATTCCAGAGCCCCGCAGAGCTTGCCAGGCAATAATCCAAATGGGGCAGGAAACAAGTTCCAGTAATTTGATCTCATTTGAAGCAAAACAAAGCCAGGCAGAAAACAGGCCCTCATAACACAGAAATTACAGACCAGAAGATAAGGAAGATGGCTCCCTTTCCTCATCTTGCCAAGACTCACGGGAACAGCACCCAGGGCAGTTGTTACCACCAATGGCGATAGCTAGGAGGTAATTTGATTCTAATAAGAGTTACCAGTACAGAAGTTTGTGGACGCTGTGCTTTCTTTACATTTCAGCCAATTAAAGGTTATCTCTATAATGAGGAAATTCCCACTTGCAGTCCCACAGCTCACCGAGCAGGTTGGAAAGGTGCGGATCATTGCTGGGGGAGGATGGAGTACAATCTGCAGGCTGTTAGCTTGCCTTTGATGTGCCCTGCCTGGCTGCTGTAAATAGAGATCCCAGAAGAGCCTGGAGTTGTGGTTTGGCAGTTACTTTCTTTTTGTTTTTTTAAAACTTTGCTTCTAGATTCATATTGAAAGCCTAGAGAGTACAGACTGCCATCTATTTTGCAAGAATAAAGCTGTGAACATTCCCGTGATAATGAAAACAGTTTCTGTGACCAATCACAAGCGAACAAAATGCTGATGTGAGTGAAATTTACAATGCTCTGTGTAAATAATATTTAAAATGGGAAAGTAATCATCTTACATGTTGCTAATTTAATAATAACATGCAGCTTATGTTTTTTGTGTGCTTATTCTTTAACAGTAAAAAAGAAGAGCTCTGGTGTGCTAGGGGTGAGGAAAAAATAGACTACATGCTTAACGTGCACTGACAAAGCAATGTAGTATTTAAAAACCACTGTCATTTTATATTGAGTTCAAAATCACAGGAAGTGATCCTACCATGTTGCATTTGGTATTAGTGACCGCTGTGTATCAAACGTCCCCCCAAATCTCACTGAATATTTAAAAACCACTGTCATTTTATATTGAGTTCAAAATCACAGGAAGTGATCCCACCATGTTGCATTTGGTATTAGTGACCGCTGTGTATCAAACGTCCCCCCAAATCTCACTGAAGCTTGACCCCCACTGTAACAGTGCTTAGAGGGTAGGAAATCTGATTATGGTATTTGAAAGGTGTGGCCCTTAAGAGGTGATCAGATGTGGGGACTGTGCCCTTGTGAATGGATTGTTCCATCCACAAAGCAATGGGCATGGTTCAGACGGCTTTGTAAGGTAAGAGAGAAGGTTGGCTCTCTCTTGCTAACGCCATTCTTTCCCATGTGATACCCTGCGTTGCCACTCAGAAGGCCTTCACCAGATGCACACCCTGGACCGTGGACTTCCCAGCCTCCAAAACTGTTAAGAAATAAATTCATTTCTTTATAAATTACCCAGTTTCAGGTATTCTGTTGTAAGCAAAAGAAAACAGACGAATATACTAAGAGAACATCTCGAATTGCACACTCATTTTTGGGCTTCAGTTGTAATACAGGGACTGAAACACTAGAATGTCTTCCCAGAGGAGGGGGCCCAGGATGGTGAGGGGTCTAGAAATAATGCCATAGGGGTGAACAGCAGGGAAGGGAGGAGGTGATCAACAGAGTGTGCTTAGCATGGAAAAGATAGGAAGGGCTGTCCTACACAAGAAGCTTCATTCTATGTAGCTCCGGAGGGCAAAGCTAAAATCAGTGACTAAAAATTATAAACAGATTTGTACTAATAGTTTTCTAACAAGCATACATTCCCACTTTGACAGGCAGTGAACTCCACATCACAGGAGGCAATCCGTCCACACCACATGCTCCTATCCTCTGTACAAGGGTAGGCCAGATACCTTTAAGCTTCCTTCAAACTCTAAAATTCTGTGATTTTCTTAAACGTACAAGTTATTTTTAGAATTAAAACATCAATGGTGAGTCTTAATGATCTACCATCAATAAAAAATAAGAGACTTGACTACTGGGTTTTTCAGATTGTAGATATCTGTTGTCTCCACTCAAGAACTGGAAATTTTGCTCTGTTAACATACCACATGGTGACCCAACCTTTGTTCAATCATATCTTAGAGACAAGGTAAGGAGCTCCAGTCCCATTTCAACCTCACCATGGGACACACAGTTCTTGAACACATAAAGAGCATCGCAACAGGTTTAGTCCCAAAGAAGCTGTCTCTGTGTTTTCGTTCATTTTAAGTTAGTGAGACTGAATTTCATAACGTTAAGCTCATTTCAAGGTACCTAACACTCCATACATCATCTATTAAACTTAAAAAATTTTGCACGGTGAGAAAGATCCAGACAGCAAACAGGAAAACTTACTCAACCACAGTCCACAGAACTGGAATTCTAATTTTAAGATCTGAATTTTCAGAAAAACAAATCAGGAGTAACCATGATTGCCTCTTGACTGCTTCAAGCCTCATGGATGCTAAGATTATAGTCACTTTGCATTGATGGCACTCCAGGTCTCAGAACTGACTCTGGTACCCAAGTAGGCCAGGAACTCCAGGAATACAACTCCCACTACTAAAATGTACTGAGAGCTTATTACCTGCCAGGCACTGCATAGCCCAAGGGCTCTTCTTCTACCAGCTCAGTTAATCCTTCCCTAGGAAGTAAATACTATTTTTATTATCCCAAGCTAATTGGGGTGAGTTTAAGCAATCTGGGCATGGCAGACAAACAAGGAGCCAGAGATAAAAATCAGGTTACCTGACTCCAAAGCCCATGCTCTTTCTTATCCAGTGTCACACTCAGCACCTCCAGCTCAACACCACCACCAAAATGCTACGCTAAATTTCCCCAGGTTCCAGTGGCCGCCTGGGACACAGCCCTGCTCCCTGGGTTAAGCATTAGCCCCGAACTGCCACATCACCTGCAACTGGTCTCAAGCTAAGGATAGTAGGAAAGGAAGGCACAGACTATGACTTACTTTATCTGTAACTAGTAAAAATACATTAAAAGAGAAAGGGTCCCTACCCAAGCGATAAAGTATAACTCTGGGCCTGTTAAACTTTTACTCCAGCAAGCATTCTGAAAGCAATGAATTCTGACCATCTTTGCTAAGAAAACTACTCAGTGGGACCCTTGGCTGTTTTGGACATAAGCTGGCGTCAAAGAAATTCTCCCACATACTTCTATAAAAGTGAAAAACAGTGAAAATTCTTTGTAGAATCAGCAAATACCAACTTGTAGGCAAAATACATGGATTCCTGAGGTAACTCTTAACTTACTCTTTAGCTAGACAGTACTTCCTATCACCAAAAATTAAAAACTCCACAGTTGCTTGGCCTCACACTTGAGCCACCAAAAGTCTTAAGCCCTCATGACTGCATAGGAAATTTATGAGAAAAGGGGAGGAACACTTCACAGCCTACTTCCTGTCATCGGCTATCTGCCACTTCACCTGGAGAGTGCTGCAGGCTTTTGAGAGCTGGCATGGGAGCACAGGCGGCAGCAGAGGAGAGCAGCCGCTTTGGGTTAGGAGATCTGATCTGAGGTGTGGCACTGCCCTTTATCTGTGCAGGCACATCTGCCTACTGTCTCAAATGCCAGAGCGCCTGCAGTCCTAGCCAGGGCCGAGCACAGGGGCAGGGGGAATGCATTAGGTAGATTTTCCTCCCCACGATCCCATCTATATTCTCCTCCTGCAGAGCTATCACTTGTCTGTGAGGGAAAGGAGGGTAAGGAAGAAGAGAATGAAATGTAAATTTAAGATTTCATCAGCACACCCAAGGAATTGCTCCTAAAGGGAGGGCAAGGAGGTTGGGAAGCACATGCAGACGTCAGTGGCTTCTTGGCAAAGATAGAAAGGCGGGACCTGCGCTTACCTGACCACTGAAGGACTCTTTCTTGGCTGAGCTCTGAGCTGGAGCAGGACCCTGGGCAGGCGACAATTTTGAGGGGCTCTTCTTACTCTGAGGCAGCAGCGAGGACAGGAAGCCCACACGAGGTGACTGGGAGAGGGAGGTGTTCCTCTGGCTGCACACCATGGCTCTGGTCAAGCAGACACACCACAGGGTCACAGGGCTGGGGTGGGATGCAGGAGAACCTAGAATACAGACCTCCTGGGCTGCGGATGATGCTAGTGACCAGGCCCTAGCCAGGTGCAGGAAGCTGGGTTGTAAGGTGGCATTAGCTTTGCTGCCACTGCTCATAGAAAGGGAGCTGGCAGCTTATCTGGCACAATGGTGAGATCTGCAGCTCTTCTTTAAGGGCCACAGGAAAGCTCAGAGCTGCCTTGTCTGGTAGCCACTTGCCACATGTGCCACTGAGCACCCGAATGTGGTCGTTCCAAATGGAGATGTGCTGGACATGTAAAACACACACTGGAATTCAAAGACTTAGCATGAAACAAGTGTAAAAAAGGTCATTAATGTTTTGTTTATATTCACTAAACATGTCCTATAATTCACTAAACATGTCCTATAATTCACATGTTGAAAGGATATTTAGGACATCCTGGACTAAGTAAAATATATCACTAAAATTAACTTGTTTCTTTTATTATATTTTAATGTAGCTACTAAAAAATTTTAAATTACATCTTCAGCTCACATTTTATTTCCATCAGATGGCACTGGCTCAGAAACTAGAGCAGTTTCACTCGGTGCAGCACTTGGCTATGTGTAGGTCTGGAATCTGCTGCCCGGGATGTACTCCGACTCACCACCAATCAATAACTGTGTCCTCTGTCTGTGCCTTTGTTTCTTTTATTATTGCTACTATTATTATCATCATCACTTCAGGCTTCTGCTTTAACTGGCTGTTTTTTCTGGTCACTCAAATACCACTCTCCCGATCTTCCTACCTCTCTAAACCCTCAGGCAGGTGCATGCTCCTACCGAGAAACGCATCCAACCTGTGACTGCCAATCTTCCCATGCACAAGGCGCTCCTTCCAATGCACAAAAACCTCCTGAGACTTTATGATAGTGGCTGTGTTTTATTTATCCAGGCTACCCACATCTGGATGTGCAGGCCCCTGGGCACAGCTGTGCAGTACCCCTCCCTCTGGATGGAGCCAGAGGCTCGGAGGTTGGGAACAACTCCTGGAGGACAGTAGAGGCCATGGGAACCTTCCTCACATGTGCCAAGGAGGCTCTTTGGCAATTCTCCCTCACCAGGCAGGGGGGCCACTGGCAAGGCAGGGTCAGAGTGAACCTCAAGGCGGAGAATGGAAGATAAAGGAAAGGAGGGAGCCTCCGCCTTCCCACCCTCAAGCCTTCTTGCAGACTCACAGCTCTGAGTCCCCCAGGCGGTCCATACTGGAGACATAAGGAGGCAATCTGTGTTGGACCAAGGCCTCTTCCTCTTCTGGCTGTTGCTCCTCTTTCTTCAGTCGGTGGATTTCAGCTTGCAATGCAAAAAGCTACACAGGGGTGGGGCTGAGTTAGCCGATGATCTCATAATCTTCCCTCTGCTGAGGAAGATTTCTACATACTTCACATCCAGACCCAAGCTCGCTGGTGCAAAGGGCCACTCGCCCTCAGCCTCAAGGTGCCCTTCTCTCTGCTCACGATAGACTGGACAAATGGAAGAGTGTCAGCTGGTACTGGATTACAGTGAGCCGAGAAAACCAAAAACCATCAGAAATCAAACCCACTTTTTTTTTTTTTATCATTCACTTACTTCCTTTTTATCTTCTGACTTGTTTCTTCCTGAACTCACTGAGAATAATAACTCTACCCAGTCCTACTTTGTTCTTTGCAATCTACAAAATCAGGCTCTCATGGAAAAAATGTTTAAATGAATTATAGCATTTTTATCATTCACTTGCTTCCTTTTTATCTTCTGACTTGTTTCTTCCTGAACTCACTGAGAATAATAACTCTACCCAGTCCTACTTTGCTCTTTGCAATCTACAAAATCAGGCTCTCATGGAAAAAATGTTTAAATGAATTATAGCATTTTTCACCTGTCCTCTAAAGAAAATTAGACATACACACACACCCCAAACCCAAGAATCTTAAATCCCCAAAACTAAGCAGCTTAGAATCTTCCTTTTCCTGCCAATATCACCTATACAGATCTTAACTTTAGGACAGAGAAGTGCTCCTCAGGCAAAATGTGAAGGCAAATATGGGTCCTCTGGCCCCACTGTTTTATGTAACTAGAGAAATATATAGCTAAGTGGGAACAATAAAACTATATCTGGGTTGTAAACAATATATACGTGGCTGTAGATGTGTTAAAGGACTAGGAAGACAAAGCAGACATTTGAAAACAGGTTAGTTGTGAGATGGCACAAATGCATATAGTCTTTTTCTTCTTAAAGTTTCATTACTGTTACTATATTGTTTACATTGTACATGATTTAAAATATGAATTTAACCTCTGGTTTTCAGAGATTGTTAGTCTCCAAATCCCCAATGCTGCCTTACTGGTGACTCACTTTCATCTGACAACAGTTCAGCCTTCCTGTATTTGCTCAGCCCTCCACTGCCGCTACCTAATTTCACACACAAAAAGCAGAAGTACTTCCTGAGAAGCAGGCCTGTTCAGAACAAACCTTCTGGCGCAGAACTTCATTTTCTTCTTGAACCTGGTTGGTCCTCTGACACTCCGCATCAAAGTTCAGGATCATGGGAACTGGTGCACAAGGTTAAAGAATAAGCCTGCCTGTGAGGCTTTCTTTAGGCAAAAGGTCAAAAATGCTATAGTTTATTTAAACGTTAAAAGTCCTTCGCACACTCTTGATACAGCAGCAGAACACTGAGCATGAGACACAGGAACAGAGTGCACAGTGAGTGCTATGGGCTCTTCACAGCTTTATGAAAGACGCTCTCCCTGGTCTCTGGGCCTGTTCCTCCAGGTCTGGCCTGGTTTTGTTTGGACAGACTCACAGACACATAACAATCTGCCTAGCCAGCCCACAAAGAGGACATAAATCTAGACCTGGGCATTTTCTCCCAAGCACCAGCAGTAAATAGCCAGTACCCAGCAGGCTTCACAGCAGTCTAACCTTTAGTGAGCTCAGTATAGCATTCAGCTAAAAGCAACCCTGGAGGCTAGAGGCTCTGCAAGCACTCTGCCAGCTGGGCAGAAGGCTTGGCCACTGCCTTCACTCCCTAGACGAAACCTCTCCCTGGCACAGAAGAGAAAGCTTTCTGCAGACTGCACGGCCACACGCCACCCCACGAACATCCACACTCTGGCTCAGGGTATCCACCTTCCCAACTACCTCAAACTGCTTCAGTCAGGAGGAGCAGAGAGTGGACAGGGAGGTAAACAGTAGCTCCAATGTTCATGATCTGGTTTGAAGGGCACTGTCTTGCTCTGAAAAGATCTTGGATGGCGGTTTCAATTTCCCTGGAGGGCCCTCATGATCATAACCACCTGCTAGTTTCGTGTGACAACCCTCAGGTTGGAGAGAGGAGGCAGGAGATAAAAGGCAGACCTGGCAAGGGCAGAATTCACGCTTACCCACAACACAAAAACAAAGGCAAAGGCAGGAAGGTACCTTCCTACTACCAGCAGAAAGTGTCCCCCAGGGGCCAAACGGCCACCTGTGGGGGGGGGGGGGGGCGGACTGTACAGTGCCCACACACATCAGGGCCTCTCCAGGCAGCTCCATTCAAAGCAGGCTCCCTTCTCCTCCCCTAGGTTTCCAACCTAAAGAGCATGAGCAAGGGAGCTTTCCGTGACAGAATGGGACATTTGGTAGGCGGGAAAATTATTCACATATATTCTCATTCTCTCTCAAATACTCATGTATTCTTTTTTTGTGTGTCTGTTTTGTGACCGGTAAGGGGATCGCAACCCTTGGCTTGGTGTCGTCCGCACCGCACTCAGCCAGTGAACGCACTGGCCATCCCTATATAGGATCTGAACTGTGGCGGGAGTGCCACTGCGCTCCCAGCGCCGCACTCTCCCGAGTGTGCCACAGGGTCAGCCCTACTCATATATTCTTAAAGCTACTAGGCCGGCCCTAAGTTATTTATTTATTTTTTTATTTTATTTTTTTGTCTTTTTCCGTGTCCGGCAACGGATCGCAACCCTCANATTTTATTTTATTTTTTTGTCTTTTTCCGTGTCCGGCAAGGGATCTCAACCCTCAGTGTTGCCCCCGTACCGGACCGGGGACCGGCAACGGGATCGCAACCCTCCACGTTGCTCCCACGCCTCGCTCAGCCAGTGAGCGGGAACCGGTCTGCATGTGGGATCCGAACCCTCGGGCGGGAGCGCCACAGCACTTCCCAAGCGGCGCACTATCCAGTGCGCCACCAGGCCGGCCCTTAAGTTATTTTTTGATGTTAGATATGTGGCTTGACCCTCTAGCAAGCATGGAAATGGTGTAAAAGGATTCCAGTCCAGGAAGCAAATCTGGCTGAGATCTTAGATCTACCTCTGACTTACTTGACCAACTTGGCAATATCACTTCAACTGTGGTCTCAGTTGTCTCACATTTAAAAAAAAAAAAAAAAACAAGAAAGCTGGGACAATCTGCATGAACTTCCTTCCAGCTCCACAATTCCAGGATTCCATAGATCACCAGGAGGTGCACTGACTAGCTCCTTCAAGTCAGGTCATCAAAGTACCCCAAAGCCCTGATACCAGCTCAGAGTGTCAACCATTACACCAGAGTACACAATCTGGAAAAGGTATTTGGATACCAATGCTAACCCAACCCCATTTTACAGATCCGGACACTGAGGCCCAGAGAGATAAAATGATTTGCTTTTGCCACTAAGTAGCCACTTTGGTGAGACAAGAAATCAGGTCTCCAAACTCCCCTCCAGTGTTCTTGCTCCTAGCTCACTGCCTCTCTCAATTCACCTACCAACACCAACAGAAGTCAGTACACACAAACATACAAATCACACAGGTGTAAATTCCAAGAACCTCTCAGCAGAAAATCGTATCAGAGCAGGGGAAGTTTGTGTTTTAAAAAACTGCAACGAGGTCTTCCTCAACTGCAGAAGGAAAATCGCCAATGAGTCCCTGACAAGGCCATTTTAAACAAACATCACAGATACTTGAACTCAGCTAACCTTTTGGTCTGCAGCCCCCATTGTTCCCGCCATTAGAAGCCAACCCTTGAATATTTCTGTTGCCAGAACTCAACAATCTACCCAACCCTGGCTCCTAAAACATCCTTGCCATCCTGGCCAGCACCTGCTGGGAGGCTGGGGCAGAGAACGGAGCCCTGGACCAGGAGTCGGGGCACCTGGGCTCCCGATGCTCCCGACCCCCTGGGCAACTTCGGGCCAGTCACGTCCGTCTCAGGGCCTCAGTTCCTCATCTGAAAGCGAAGGTCAGACACGCTGATGATTACAGTCCCCTCCGGCGCGGGTGACAGCGCCACTCCCGCCCCGGAGGGCAGTGCTGGGGGTAGCCCGCTCCCGAGCTCCCTCGTGCTGCCTCTGCCCCGGCCGCGCCCGCCGACCCCTCACCCGGAACCCCTTCTCCTTGTCCGCCTTGATCTCGGAGTCCAGCTGCCGCAGTGTGTGCGTGAAGCCGCGGAAGAGCAGGTACTCGCGGACCAGCTCGTCAGTGCGCTCCACGGCCTCCGCCATCGCTGCGACAGCGCCTTGAGGTGCCGCGGCGGCGAGGGACGGAGGGGCGGGGCCGGAGCGGGCCGGGGCGGGGCCGGACGCGAACGCCCAGAACGTCACGCCGCGGCTGGCCTACCAGCTCGCACGCACCCGAGCGCCCCAGCCCGAGGCCCCA